TATTAATCTATACAATTTCACATAATTTTGATTCGATCTTTATAATTTAAAATTCATATAATTTTATATTCAATCTTTGTTATTATGTTTTGTCAATGTATTGCTACATGCGTGAAAAATATTTATGTATACTTATAAAAACCAACAAATCCTCATGAAACTTTATCAACAGGTACCTATTTAAAAAAAATTGTAAATGGTGAATGTACAAACTTAAAACTTTTAAACCCATTCATTTGATTTGTCACGTATATAAGCTAGCCATAATTATGTTGCTGTGATAATATTCGTAGCTTGGAAATTACTCCCACCATTTAAAAATGTAATGCATTTTTTAAGGAGTTAGATGTTTAAAAATGTAAAGCATTTTTAGTCTTTTGAGGTGTAACCATTGTCTTTTTTTTAAAAGTACCTCTATTGATAATGACTTTATATTTATTATAAGGTGTTTAATAGGAGTAAAGATGTAAAGATAGGGTTAGTTTGAAAGTAAATAACTACTTTATTGGAGGGTAAGATTTAGTTAAAAATGCCTTATATTTTTTAACAGAAGGAGTATTTATACTTTTCTTTAAGTCATAAGTATGCCCCATTCTGCTGGCGGAGGCTCTTAATTCCCGAACGTTTATCAGACTTTTTCCCAAGAGAGGATGTGAAGTTTCTAGGTGTCATAACAAGAAGGCACTACTATACTTATCATTTAAGACTTTTTTGGACAGGAGCTTCGTCCCTAAAAGTTTATTTTATTCTTAAATTTAAGAGGTGTCATAATATTTTGAATAATTAGACAATTTTATTCTTATCTTGAAAAAAAGGGCAGACATATTAATTATGTGCTTTACCCACCACTATCATGATATTAATTAGCATTATTGGGGTCAAAATTAGAAAATTATTGTAATTTAATGTGATTTCAACTAAAGAAAAAACCTTTTATTGAAATGGAGGATTCAATTGAAAATACTTATATATAGAAATAGAAATAGAAATGTAGTAGCTAGGCATGGCAGTAACCATATACATGCACGTGACCTTGAATTTCCTTAAAACCTTAAACTAAACAATAAAAATATAAATGGAGTTGCTGGGATGCCCCGTTAAAAAAGATTTAAAATAACGTATTAGTGTGAGGTCTGAATAATTGGACAAAAAAGTTCCCGAGTCTCGAGATTTTAATAAAATATTTAATCTTTCTTTGTTCTTCGGTGCCAACATTTTGATAATAAAATGTCACATAAAGACATTTACCAACAAAATATTATATAGAGTAAGACACAGCTGGATGGCAATTCAGATTGGACTGACTTCGACGACTTGGACTGAATCTTACGCCTTGGATTTTTATATAGAAACACACGCACACCAGCTCATAGATTTTACATATACCAGAGATTGAAGACTAAACACAAGACTTGTCCTCAACATTATTTGTTTCATCCTTCAGGTTCCTATTTCCTACTTTGCACTCTATTTTTGTAGATCTATTCCATGAAATCATTATTTTCAAGAGAATTATTTGCAGACAAAGACAAATAATAAGTCACCATTTGAGGGGAAAAAACAAGCCTCTGTTACCATTTTAATAACAAATAATTTTGTATTAATCTTTATTTGTGAATAATTCTTTTGATAGGTCTTTGGACGTGATTCTTCTAAAACGCAATAATTAAATAATGGTGCTAGAAATTACAAATACAAGCTGTATAAATGTTAAATTGTACGTTCTTTGAATTTTTAATTGGAATTTACTTGGATAAAAAATCATTTTCTTTTTAAAGTCTCGCATAATGAGTCAAAGTACCGTGGTTAATTTGTTGTTATTTTTTATAAATTTCTTTTCAATAATTGTAGTTAATTAGAGTACTTCAACCAATTGCAAATTAAACAAATCCTAATAAATGTATAATGAGCAAATGGTTTCAGGTATGCATGTCAGCATTATCTTTTTTTTTTTCCTCTTTTTCTTTTATGGAAATCTAATGCTATTTTTGTTACATATATAATATCAGTAATATTGAGATTATTCGCATACAATACGACCAATGGCAGTCATTGGTTAAAAAATTATTGTATTATTAATCTCTACAATGTCACACAATTTTGATTTCATCTTTATAATATAAAATCTAAATAATTTTTAATTCAATCTTTATTATTATATTTTATCAATATATTGTTACATATTTGAAAATATTTAGCTATACATATAAAACTCAATACTTATAAAACTTCATCAACATGGACCTTTTTTAAAAATGTGTAAATGATGAATGTACAAATATTAATGTTAAGAAAACTAGACCGGTTATTAAATCGACAGAGGTACTCATTCAAGGTTCAATGGTCAAACCGTGATTTGAACCATAAGTCAAGTAATTATAAATAAATTTATCTATTTTAAATTTTAAACAATATATGTTTATAATAAAAAGAAATAATTATATATTATAAAAAAATGAATTTTTAAATTTCAAACAAGATCATAAAAGATAAAAAAGGAAGTATACATTAATATTCCATCATTTAAATCCAATAAACAAATATTTATTTCATAGTTTATAATTTATAACTTTAAAATGTGTGCATATATACATATTCTATACATATTTCTTGCATATTTGTTCTTTTTTTCATTTATCAATGTTTATTATGTACAAATATGCACACATTTTAGTTTATAAATATGAATAAACTTTTTTTATAAAAAATCAGGACCAATTCAACTAGAATTTTCACTAATTTTAATCAATTCAAGACTGGTTCTGCTGATTCTTGATTGGTTTTCATATTGACCAATTCTCTATTGTGACTAGACGGCCTTAGGATTGATTTCCAGTTTAACTGGTTGAACTTGTCGGTCTCGTTTGATTTTAATAACACTGACAAATAAAAACTTTTAAACTCATTTGTTTGATTTATTTGATATGTAAGCTACAAGAAAACTTTTATTTTTGTTTATCGTGTACTGTTTAACTGAATATTCACTTATCATAATTGCTCACTTTGAAGTTCTTTTTCTTGTAGGTTTTTTTCTTTGTGAGGATTCTTTGTGATTGAATGGTTCGTGAAGTTTTTTCCTGTGAATTTTAAGCTTTACTTTTAAAGTTGAGTGTGAATTTTAACTAAACAACAAGAGATGTTGCCTATTAATCATTTGGTTTAACTATATCTTTCTATACTGAACTTGGCTTTGAGGATTAACTTCTCATTACCCTCAGTGTGATTTAGTGTGGGACTTCTTCAAGCATATGGTGTGACTTGATGTTTTTTAAATTATGCTTGCAAACTCGAGATTATTACAGAAATGGGTTGTATGACTTACAAGATCGCACATATTGGAGCATTTTTTCCTTAAAAAAAAAAGTTGTTGTACGTATGAGCAGAACAGGGACCGTTTTAAAATATAAAGGTTCCCTTGAATAAAAAGAAATATATATATATATATATATAAAGGTTTCCGTAACACATTTGAGAACTTTTAAGACGCATACATTCGTATTTTTTCTTCTTGTCATGGGTAATGAAAAGCAACATCACATGGATCTGTGTTTCATTCTGCAAAAAGGCGCACTGATGTCCATAACACGGTTTGAGGGATGAACGCGTAAAGACTTGAGAGAAGAGTTGGGTTATCAATTGAGCTCGTTGTTGAGACTTCGGAGCATTATCATACTTTTTCTTCTTCTGTAGCCATTCCTATTTTTTATTAAAAACAATTTTGTTTGGAATAATGTCAGGCATTAAATATGGAAATTTATCCATTCAGTAGACACAAAAATTCCATTTGGCTCACTCCCTCCATTTTGCTTGACATGCCAAGTCAAAATGTTAATTTCTAACAACATTTTAAAAAATCGGGCTGATTATTTAACTGATAGAGGTATTGGAATTAAGGTTAATAATAAAAATATAATTGACTCGTGATAAATTAATTATAAATAAAGTATTTTGTTAAATTGGATAAGATATTAGCTTAATAGTTTATCAGTTTAACCATATGAATTGATTTGAAGTTCTATACTATAATTTCCATTCAAATTTAGGACCATTTTCCGAGAAACTTCTCATAGTTAATTTCTTTGACATTTCATAGAATTTCTTAATAGTTTTCTAGCAAATTTAAGGCCACATATAATGAGAAAAGTAGTAGGCTTTTTATTATTATTATTATTATTATTATTATTATTATTATTATTATTATTATTATTATTTAAATCTAAAAGACTCTTGATGATTTCATTCCTATTTCCTAGTCTTCCCTCTCGTTTTCTCATACACACACACAGTTTTTTTAAAAAAAATAGTACATTAAATTTTTCTTACTATACATATTATTTTGTTTAAATTTATCCATTAATATATATATATGTATATTCTTATTGTATTTAATTATTTTTAATAAAAAATAAATGAGTAAAATTATTGACTTAGAATTGAGGGATTTTAAACTTATTTTTTTATAATAATTTTTTAATTTTTTAAAAAACGGTACACTCTGATAATATAAAAGGACCACTTTCATAATTATATTATATAAATAAATACTTAAAAAGTAAATAAAAAAGTAAATAAAAAATACAAAAGTAATGAAAAGCATCATCACATGGTTCTGTCCTTTCATTCCGCAAAAAGGAACACTGTTGTCCGCAACACGGTTTGACTCATGATGCGTGAAGACTTGAGGGAAGACTTGGGCTTCCAGTTGAGCTCGTGGCTGCTTGTTGAGACCTGAGAGCATTATAATACTTTCATCTTAAGTCAATACACACAAGAGTTCCATTTGGCTTACTTTCTCCTTTTTGCTTCTCATTCTTCTTCCATTTTTCTTTCTCCGAAATTTGAAGCAGCCTGCTCAACTTCATCTTATAGCACTTCGAAATCCAACAAATCTTTCCACATTACTTCATCCGTCAGGTTTCTACTTTCTTCCTTGCTCCGTTTTAGGTTTCTTCTGTGAATTGAATGGTTTAGATCTGTGAGATTTTGCAAAGAATATATATACACAGATTCTGCTTCCATTTAATTGAAGTTTTCTTCCTTCTGTATATGTTTATTTTCTCTCTTTTATGCCTGGATGCTGATGGATGTATTTGAAATTTGCATGGTTGAGCTTTCGAATTGTTGCTATGGCACTTGAAGCTCATGGGGTTGACTACCCTTCAAGCTCTTTTGGTTCGGCTAGGAGATGGAAGTATCATGTGTTCTTGAGTTTTCGAGGAGAAGACACTCGTAGAAGCTTTACAGATCACTTGTTTTGTGCTTTACAACGCACGGGAATTAAAGCTTTCAGGGATGACGAAGAACTTGAGAGGGGAGAAGTTATTAAACCAAGTCTGCTCCAAGCAATTGAAGAATCTCTTTCTGCAATTGTTGTTATATCTCCAAATTATGCTTCTTCAACCTGGTGCTTAGAAGAGCTCTCAAAGATTCTTCATTTTAAGAAAGAGTCAGGTCTTCACGTATTTACAATCTTTTATGGTGTGGATCCGTCTGATGTTCGACACCAGAGAGGAAGTTTTGCAGAAGCATTTAAAAAGCATGAAGACAAACTTCCACAAGACAAGACGAAGGTGCAAGATTGGAGGGATGCTTTGGAAGAAGTTGCTAACTTGTCTGGCTGGCATTCTGACTATCGGTAATTTCTTAAACTTCCAATAATTATCATGAATAATTTTTAAAATAATACTAAGGGTGTGGATATGAAGAAGATTTCCTTTCATTTTAATTTGTGCACTGCATATTTGTGTAATTATAAAAAAAATGAATATTAAGGGTGTGGATATTAATTATTTTAAAATATTTAAAAATTGATGTTAGGTATATTATAATATGATTATATATATAGGAACAACATATTTTTGATTCTAGAGTTTCGGCCTTTCATTAAGATCCTAAAGTTTTTTTCATTAATTAAGGAATAAGTCTTAGAGTTAACTTTGAACAATGTCTCCGGAGATCACATGTCCTTACGTACCAAGGATGTTTGATGACAATAGAGATTTTGACCAAAATTGACTATAATTTTATACTGATTTCTTAAATAATTTTAAAAAAAGACCCATGGTAACCTTGACCTGTATTGACCAAAACTCTAGAGGAAAAAAACGTTTTCCCTTATATAAAATTCAAATACAAAATCTATGAAAAGTCAGATCATCTATGAATCATGATTAAATTGACTCACCTTAAACAAATCACTGTTCACGATCTAGTTTGTTTAAAAAAAAAAACATATGGGGAGGCAATTTAGTAACAATCATGAAAAACAATTAGGAACCCAAGTTTGAGTGTAGATTTCATAATTGATCGGTCCTATCATAAAACAAATGAGAGGAAAAATAATTATAATTTTAAAACTAAGGCTGCAAGAATATAATTCATTATTCTTTCTATTACAAAACCAGCTATTTAATTTGCATTACAATAATTTTAAACAGCATGATAAATGTAGGTCAAGGTTAACTTATGTTACGTAGTTGAACTAAAAATGTTACCCATGTGACCGTGTTTTCCTTATATCACATTAACTATTTTAATTTATATAAATTAAAATTCAGTTGACTTAATGTTAAAGATATTACTTTATATTCCTTTGCAGGCACGAAACAAAACTCATTGAAGCTGTTATTGAAAAAGTGTGGTCAAAAATATATGATGAACTTACATTTGACTCTGAGAGATTAGTTGGAATTGAATCAAAACTTGCAGATTTAAATTCACTTATAGAAAATGGATTGGATGATGTTCGATTTATAGGAATATGGGGCATAGGGGGTTTAGGTAAAACTACTATTGCAAGAGCTTTCTATGAGAGAATGTATAAAGATTTTGAAGTTCATTGCTTTCTTCTTAATGTTAGAGAGGTAGATGAAAAAGAAGGTTTGATTGCCTTGCAAAAAAAAGTTCTTTCTTCTTTGGATAAAGAAGCATGGATGTGGATGACTATCATGAAGGAAGGAAGTCGATAAAAAGCATGTTAAGCAATAGGAAAATTCTTCTTGTCCTTGATGATGTGAGTGATCTAAGCCAACTTGAGAATTTGGCTAGAAATCAAGAATGGTTTGGCAAAGGGAGCTTAATAATAATAACAACCAGAGACAAGCATTTGTTATTATCACATGGTGTATCTACTTGGTATGACATCAAATTCTTGAGTGATGATGAATCCCTTGAGCTTTTCCACCAAAATGCTTTTAAAGGAAGTAAGCCAAGTGTAGATTTTTTGGACCTTTCTAGAACTGTGATTCACTATGCTAGCGGCCTTCCTTTGGCGCTCAAAGTGTTGGGTTCATTTCTTTGCGGAAGAAATATATTAGAATGGAGAGATGCAATCGCTAGATTTAAGAAAGTTCCTCCTAATAATGGCATCTTGAAGATACTTAAAGTTAGTTTCGATGGATTAGAAGAGGATGAGAAGACTATATTTTTAGATATTGCTTGCTTCTTTAAAGGGATGAAAAAAGATTATGTCATGCAAATCTTACAAAAATTGGATCTACATCCAATAATTGGAATAAAAGTTTTGGTTGATAAATCTTTGGTGATTATTAGTTCTGATACTGTATGGGTTCATGACATGCTTGAGGAAATGGCTAAGAATATTGTTGTTCAACAATCATCCCATGATGCTGGCAAACGTAGTAGGATATGGTCCTTGGAGGATGCTAATCATGTTCTAGAAAGCAATATGGTAATACTTATTTTTTGGGCCTTGTTACCATATAATATAATGCTCATAATTTTTTATGATTATGCACTTTTTATTTAGTAAATTCTTCTGTGCGTTATTTATATCGTTAACTTGATTTTTTTCTTTTTTGTTTTATTTAGGGGACAGAAGCAATTCGAGGCATCGTGTTAAGATTAGACAAACCATATGTCTCCAATTGGGATCCTAAAGCCTTCATAAAGATGAGTAATCTTAAATTACTTATCATAAAAAGTGGTTGGCAATGGCATGCTGATTGTTTTTGTTATTTGAATCTTCCTTGTGGGCTTAAATTCTTTCCAAGTACATTAAAAGTGTTAGAATGGAAGGGATGCTGTTTAGATACTTTGCCAAGTCCGGCTCGAAAACAACCACAGGTAATTAATTATGGCTTTTCTATTAAAGATAGTTATATATAATTTTGAAACAATTGATACTTGTTTAAGAATTTTTTTAAAATTTGTATCTTTTATTTTTTCAGGTTTTAGGAAAGCTTAAGCACCTTGATTTAAGCCATTCAAGATATCTAATCAAAACACCAAATTTTGATGAAGTCCCTGATCTTGAAATACTCATTCTTGAAGGTTGTGTAAACGTTGTTGAAGTACATTCATCTCTTGGATGCCATAAGAATCTTGCCACAGTCAATTTGAAGGGTTGTAGGAGTATTAAAACTCTACCAAGAAAGTTTGAGATGAAACGCCTAGAGACTCTTACACTTTCAGGCTGTTCAAAAATCAAACGACTTCCTGAATTTGGCGAAAGTATGGAGCGTCTATCCCAACTTGATGTGGAGGATACTGGTATCACAAAACTACCTCAATCACTTGTCAATTTGACCACTCTTGCTGTTTTAAATCTTAGGAATTGCAAAAGTCTGGCATGCCTTCCCAATGTCATTCAATATATGAAGTCTATTAGAATTCTTAATTTTTCTGGTTGCTCAAAACTTTCAAGTCTTCCAGAGGTTTCGAATGAAATGAGGCTTTAGAAGAGCTTGATGCTAGTGGAACTGCTATAAAGGAAGTGGCTTCATCAATTTGTCAATTGAAAAATTTGAAATCACTATCTTTTAGTAGATGTACTGGACAAGCACAATCATCCTCACAAAATTTCTCTTCCATTTTCAGTAGGTTCTCTAGGATTACAAGGCCTTCAATATCCATTGGGTTATTGCTGCCCCCTTCTTTATCAAATTTATCATCATTAAGATTCTTACATTTAAGTCACTGCAATATCTATGATGAGTCCCTTCCTAATGATTTTAATGCATTATCATCATTGCGGGGGCTTGATCTGCGTGGAAACAATTTTGTTAACCTACCTAGTGGCTTTACCTCTAACCTTTTAAAGCTCCAATGGGTTAGGTTTAGTCATTGTCCAAGGCTTCAATCATTACCACGACTTCCGCCAATATATGGTCTGCAGATGCAGTTGATTGTCCTTCAATGACACCTAAACTTGGTCCACAACAGCTGTTGGAATGGCTCGAACAATTTGAATATGAGGTTGGTTTGATTTTCTCATTAGGATGTTTCTTACACATTATAATCATTATACTTCTCTAAAATATATACAAAAATATAGCTTCAAATAGCACGAATGTAAAGAGCATTACATTTTGGATAATCTTAAAAGTTTTATTATATGGTTGTTTCTTGAATATTATAATCATCACACTTCTTTAACATGCTAATAATATTTGTTCCAGGATGGCTTTAAGTCAGAATGGTGGTTCTTTGTATTAAATATTCCAGGAAGTGAAGTGCCATCATGGTTTTTATAATCAAAATTACTTCTATGATGAGGCTTGGTGTTGTAAACCAAATGTGTCAATTATAGCGGATATAGATGATCAATGCCTTTCAAGTGAATGGTGTGGAATAGCTGTATGCTTAGCCGTAGAAGGTTGTTTTGCGTCTAATTTTTGTTGAAATTGATCGTCAAGCGATTGTGAGGTGGGAATGTAGAAATATTCCAGGCATGTGGAGCATCACTTTGACTGAGCGTTGGTATAGCCAATGCATTTTATTATTTATTCCATGCTTTTATAAGGGAAATCTTCAATTTTCTTTTTGGGTTGGCAATTCGTACGCATATAGTAAGGTCGAAATAAGGATAAGGAATTGTGGGTGGCGTGTGGTGTGTAAAGAAGATGTTGAAGCATGGCAAAGAACAAGGGTTGAAGGATGCAGTTGCAACAATGATTTAGACGACTGCCACGCTCTTAATGATGATGTGGTGGACATCTAAACTCCTCTTGCTAAATGCCAAAAATTGGAATAAATGATAGGTACACACGTCAGCATTATCTTTCGTTTTTTTTTTTTGGACATCTCATGCTATTTTTGATGCATATATAATATCAGTAACATTGACATAATTCGCATACAATACAACCAATGGCAGTCATTGGTTAAAAATTATTGTATTATTAATCTCTACAATGTCACACAATTTTGATTTCATCTTTGTGATATAAAATTTGAATAATTTTTAATTCAATCTTTATTATTATATTTTATCAATATATTGCTACATATTTGAAAATATTTAGCTATACATATGAAACTCAATACTTATAAAACTACATCAACATGGACCTATTTTAAAAATATATAAACGATGAATGTACAAATATGCTCATTCATGATTCATGGTCAAAACATGATTTGAATCATAAGTCAACTAGTCATGAATAAATTGATATATTTTAAATTTTAAACATATATGTTTATAATAAAAATAAATAATTATATATTATAATAAAAATGAATTTTTAAATTTCAAACAAGATCATATAAGATAAAAAAGGAAATATACATTAATATTCCATCATTTAAATCCAATATACATATACTTATTTCATAATTTATAATTTATAACTTTAAAATATATGCATTATACATATCCTGTACATTTTTCTTGCATACTTGTTCTTTTTCTTCATTTATCAATGTTTATTATGTATAAATATGCATAAATTTTAGTTTATAAATATGAATTAATTTTTTTAAAAAAATATCAGGACCAATTCAACTAGATTTTTCACTAATTTTGATCGATTCAAAACTGGTTCTGCTGATTCTTGATTGGTTTTCATATTGGCCAATTCTCTCTTGTGACTAGATTGGGCTTAGGATTGATTTTCAGTTCAACTGGTTGAACCTGTCAGTCTCCTTTGATTTTAATAACACTAACAAATATAAACTTTTAAACTCATGGTTTGAGTTATTTTATATGTAAGCTACAAGAAAACTTTTATTTTTGTTTATCATGTACTCTTTAGCTGAAGATTCACTTATCATAATTGTTCACTTTGAAGTTCTTTTTCTTGTAGTCTTTGCGAGGATTCTTGGTGATTGAATGGTTCTTGAAGTTGGTTCCTACGAGCTTGCTCTTGTAGTGTTTTTTAAGCTTTATTTTTAAAGTTGAGTGTGAATTTTAACCAGACGACAGGAGATGTTGACTGTTGATCATTTAGTTTAACTCCATCTTTCTATACTGAACTTGGTTTTGAGGATTAACTTCTCATTACCCTCAATGTGATTTAGTGTGGCACTTCTTAAAGCATATGGTGTGATTTGATGTTTTTTTTTTAAATTATGCTTGCAAACTCGAGATTATTACAGAAATGGGTTGTATGACTTACAAGATTGCACATATAGGAGCATTTCTTTAAAAAAAGTTCTTGTACATATGACCAAACAGGGACTGTTTTAAAATATAAAGGTTTCCATAACACATTTGAGAGCTTTTAAGATGCATACATTCCTATATACCTTTTCGTTTTTGTTTTCCTTTGTTTTTTTAATGCATGGGAACCTCTTTGACAAACACTCCATGAATAATTTTTTTAATTTTTTTTAAAAATTGTATTGTTGGAATCGATTTTGAAGAAAAACACTCCTAAAATAATTTTTATATTTTTACATTTTTAAGATATTTTAAGGCATTTGATAGATTAAAATGATATAAAATAATAACATCAATCTTTTTAATTTTTTAAGAAAATATGTATACAATGTACTTAGCTATATATATATATATATATATGATTTTTTAGTACAAAATGTTTTAAGCCTGAAGGAATTGATAAGCATTTAATATATAATACATATAATTTTTTAAAAAAAAAGATTTGGGTGTTTGAACCAAACTTGAACCAAATTGGCCTGAATGTAAATATGTGTGAATTTTCTCTAACCCTAATTCTAAAATTTTTTAGCTTATTTGGAATTATCCATTAGGTTTGGTTTAAATTATTGGCTTTATCTACAGGAATATAACTCACAAATTAAAGTAAGTCTCAAACTTAGCAGAATATATTACAGAGATGACACCAAGTTTGTGAGCATCATCAAATCCAACATGATCAGGAAGAATCTACAAATAGTGTATAGAAGCCATGAAGCTAAGGCATTATTATTCTATTCATCAAGCTCCAAAAGCAAGATTCACAATCATATATCCGTCCTCACCATGAATCTTAGTAGATGGAATTAGTTTAGTACCTTCAAGAAGAGATTGTAATCGATGCTATTTCACCATAAGTGTGACTTTCTACATCCAAAGAAGAAAGTTATTATCATCAAGAATGACATTGATCTTTTTATTTAAGAATTATTTAGGAGTCAAAGCAATAACTAGAGTGGAAACTTGAGCCATATCAAAGAATAAACAAACCACAGAGAAGAAGAAAAGAGAGAGAAAACAATCATCTAAAACTAAGAAAAAGGTCATTGTAGTCACCAGATTTATGGCTTTAGTACCATATAATGAACTAAGAAATGAAAGCAGAGAAGAATAAGAGTAGATGAATATTATAATCTGAATTAATTTCATAAGAAGAGTACATCTATGAAATTATAATCTAGTGACTCTATTTAAGCTACTTATAGTCACAATTGAAACCCACTTGATCAACTAACTCTAACCATCTAGAATTAGATTCAGCATTATCAAATTTACTGACTAATCAGTGCAAGGGTGATCTCAGTATGAAGGAATGCTTAATCAACATAAAATCTATTTGTAATAATTAGGTTGTTTTAGGCCACTGTGTTTCTACTTCGACACAAATTTCTCATATGTTGAATGGCCTTTGTTCTAAATATGAGCTAGTTGTTACTGTCATTAATGCTGCAAAAGGGCAATATGGTATAAGCACAGTCACTACTATGCTTATTGATGTTGAAGCACAACACAAGACTTATATTCAGCATACATCTTCACATGTGAATTTTGCTATTTATGTTCCTTGGGTTTCGTTGAATTTTGTTGTAATGAGACAAGAATTGAGAGAAAAATAGGTATTGTATTACTGTCGACTACTGTGTACAGGAATAAACATTTTCTTATATAGTTAGGGCACACAACCCTAGAGAATACATACAATGCCATGTGGCAAAAATAAAGAATAAGAGTAAAAAAAATAAATTAAGTAGTCTCTACAGGGCTTTGTGTTATTAGGCTTAAATAATAATCTATTGGGCTTCTGTTGGGTCTTAGATTTAACTTTCCCCCTCAAACGAGAGTTTGGTGAAAGCACTAAACCGAGTTTGTGTCTGAAAGCCCAAAACTTGGAGTAAGTAAATGCCTTAGTAAAAATGTCAGCAACTTGGTTAGAGGATGGGACATACTGGACAGACAGCTGTCGATTAATAACTTGATCTCAAACATAATGAATGTCCAGTTCAATATGTTTAGAGCGGGCATGTAAAATAGGATTAGAAGCAAGAGCAAAGGTACTGATGTTGTCACACCAGGTAATCCAGGGCTGTCTTAATTAGAGTCCTATTTTGCCTAAGAGCAATTGGAGCCATGCAAGTTCTGCAGAGAGATCAGAAAGAGCTCTATATTCGGATTCAGCACTTGATCTGGAGACTACTCGTTGCTTCTTTGCAGACTAAGAAATTAGAGAATCGCCTAAAAAAGCCCAATGTCCTCCGATAGATCTCCTGTCATCAGGGCAAATGGCCCAATCGGCGTCCAAGAAACCTTGCAGCTGAAGAAAATCGCAAGGCTTGATATGCAGAGCTAGTCCTATTTCCTCTAAGGTAACAAAAAACTCATTTAGAGCTTTCCAATGTACATCAGTAGGTGCATTTAGGAATTGACTCAACTTATTAACAACAAAAATGATGTCTGGTCTGGTTGTAACTAAATACTGAAGAGATCCAATCGCTTGCCTGTAGACAGTAGGATTCTTCATAGTAGTTCCATCTTCTTTTGAATAATAGCAATTGACCACCATTAGAGTAGGTGCAGTAGCACATTGATCCATACTAAACTTTCTCAACAAATTTTCAACATATTTTCTTGTTTAAGATAAAGACCTGTCCGATCTCTGTAAGCTTCAATTCCTAGGAAATAGTTGAGATGGCCCAAGTCTTTCAGGGCAAAAATAGAATTCAGATTTTTAATGAATAACTTTAGCATGTTAGGAGAATTCCCAGTAATTATAATGTCGTCTACATATATCAAAACAAACATTATGCTGTTGTTGTACCTGAAAAGGAACAGAGATGTGTCACACTTTAAATGCACGAAGTTCCAATTAAGGAGAATGGTTCTTAGTTTTTCAAACCAAGCCTTGGAGCTTGTTTTAGACCATAGATTTCTTTCTTCAATGAACACACATGATTTGGCAATTTAGAATCCTCAAAACCTTCAGGTTGTCTCATAAATACCTCTTCTTGTAGAGTTCCATTGAGGAAAGCATTGTTGACGTCCATCTGTCTTATTTGCCAGTTAAATGTAACAGCAATAGTGAGAATGAATCTTAAAGTGGTGGTCTTTAAGATGGGACTAAAGGTCTCATCAAAATCAATTCCTGGGTGCTGTTGAAAACCTTTCGCGACCAGTCTAGCTTTATGTTTAGTGATGCCATCAGAATTTTGTTTCACTTTAAAAACCCACTTGCAATCCACTATCTTTTGTTGCTGGAATAAGGCACTAAGGTCCATGTTTTGTTGAGGATCAAGGCATTAAATTCACTTTCCATTGCTTCTCTCTAGCTCTTTGAATTTAAAGCTTCCTTGACATTTCTTAGTTCTGAGTAAGTTTCTAATTCTTCAACAGCCACACCAACAAAAGGGACTTTAAGTTTAATGATTCCAGCCTTACTTCTAGTCACCATAGGATGTTGATTTTGAGGGCTATTTGGTGCAGCAACTAATTCACATGTAGCATCTGATTCAAATTGCGACTGAGAGTTTGGAACTGGTGATAACCATACAGGACTTGAAATTGGAGGCTGAAAAGTGGATATTCCTGAACTTTGAAGTGGGACAGGGAACTCAGGACTATCTGACTGAGTTTGAGCTATTTCTTGCAATATGACAGTATCCAACGGACACATGTTTAAAGTTGAAGCATTCAGGGGTTTGAAGAACACTTGCGGATGAACTTCTTCAACTGGTAAAGCTTTCTTGTTTATGAATCATGTTTCAAAAGGAAATTCAGACTCATTAAATACTACATGCCTGGATAAATATATTCTCCCTATAGAACTTAAGCATTTAAAGCCTTTATGTGAATTGCTGTAGCCCAAGAATACACACTTAGTGGACCTAAATTAGAGTTCATTTTGATTGTAAGGTCTCAAATATGGATAGCATGCATATCCAAATACTTTAAGTTGAGAGTAGTCTGGATGTTTGACATGTAGTCTGGTATAAGGTGAAATTCCACTTAGAACTGGTGTAGGCAGTCTGTTTATTAGTTCTGTGGCAATGTGGAAAGCTTCCCACCAGTAGAAAAGAGGCATTTTAGCTTGAGCTAATAGTATGAGTCCTGTCTCTACAATATGTCTGTGCTTTCTTTTAGCTCTACCATTTTGTGGTGATGTATGAGGACATGAGTAGCGAAAATGTATACCAGATTCTTGTAGAAGTTTGGAAAAACTCCTATACTCTCCACCCTAGTCGCTGTGAACAATTTTAATTTATTCTCAAACTGTTTTTCAGCAAAAGATTTGAATTGAATTAACATAGGTAAAGCCTCATCTTTACTCTTTAGAGGATAAATCCAAGAGTATCGACTGAAATCATCAACAAACAACACATAATATTTATAGCCATTCATAGAGACTAAAGGAGAGGGACCCCAAAGATCTGTATGAATTAATTCAAGAGGTGTTGTGGCATATAAGGTAGATAGCTTGAAAGGCAATGAATGAGCTTTTCCATACTTGCAAGATTCATAAAAGATAGTTTCATTAGTAGGAACTTTCAAATTACAATCATTAATCACTTTGTTTAAAATCCTATCAGTAGGATGACCAAGTCTAGAATGCCAAAGAACTCTACTAGAAACACCAGACTTAGATGCTGAAATATCAGCCTCTTCACCCGCAGTAAGAGCAAAATTATCACAGTGATCACCGTGACCTCCAGTTTCCTTAGTATCGTCAACACAATACATTCCATTAGTTGATATCCCTTCCAGCATTGTTTCCTCCGTCTATTGATCCTTCATAGAAAAACCTCTAGTATTAAAAACAATATCAGCATCATTATCATTCGCCATCTTGTAAACACTTAATAAGTTCTTTTTAATTCTTGCAGAAT